CAGGACGAGGTGTTCAGCAGTGCCTGACGGTGAAGCCGAGTCGGAGCTTGTGTGGCTGTGATGCTGGGGCCGGAGGTGAGGACACAAGGGGAGCATCACAGAGGGCGACCTGGGTGGAGACTGCAGGGCCTCGGCCCCTGGCTGGGCCGGCTCCGCTCTGTGCACTGCTCCTGGGTGCCTGATCGCCTGGCCCAGGCCTCTTCCGGAAGCCCAGGGAACTCAGAGGGTGACTGAGAGCAGCCCTTCCACTCGGCTGGACAGTGACCCTTTAACCGCAGTTGGGAAGCCACTGTCTTCAGTGCATGAGAAGTCCTTTCTTTCACATGGACGTTTATAACTGAATCACTTGCATGACAAAGTCTTTGCTGAAAGAAACCAGGTAAGAAAAGTAATCTGTAAAACTTTACTACATTTATTTATTTACTTACTAGGTATTGAACCCAGGGCCTTTGCACTAACCTACATCTCTATCCTATTTTATTTATTTATCAATTATTATTATTTTTGGATACCGGGAATCGAACTCAGGACCTTGCGGTTGCGAGACAGGCAGCAGAAGCACTGAGCTAAAGCCCCAACTATTTATTTATTTTAGAAAAGAGTTCTGGCTAAGTTGTTAAGTTTGCCGGGCTGAGCTGAAACTTGCTATCCTGCCTCAGTCTCCCAAAGTGCTGGGATTACAGGCATGCAGCACCAACCCAGCTGTAAATATTCTTTTTATAACCCTTATTAGAAACCCCATGGCTTCAGGAGAGAAGGTACCTGGGCCTCTACCCAAACCCTAACCTGGACAGTTCCCCAACCGGGAGCCTCCGCAGCATAGAACCCACGGGTTACACCTGCGGGGAGAGAACCGAGAGGGGGACAGAGCGTATCAGAGCCTTTCCTTGGGATTCCAGGAGCAGTCGAGAAGTCTGTTCTCACTGAGAAAGACACCCTCAGAGGGAGAGGGCAGCGTGCGAGCGCTTTGAGGCTGAGCCAGTCTGGATTCCACAGCCCAACACCCAGTAAGGATGGCTTTACTCTACGTTAACAGAATCCTGTTCTAGCCAAGGCCCATGAGTAAGATTACGGATGGAAATGCCGAGCCTGTCTTTTGTCTAAAAACCAAGGAAGGTGCCAATCTAGCATAGCTCTCAGGAACCTCCAATTTCAGCTAATTTAAGGAACAATTTGACTTTTGTTGGAAAGGTGGGGTGGGGTGCCATGAGCACGTGTTTCTCAGAGGAACTGGCCCTGTCACTGATGCCCAGCCAGCCCTGGTCATCTGGGTGGGGAAACTGCAGATGCTGAATCTCCAAAGCAAGCTACAAACGAAGACAGAGGACATCAGAACAGGACAGGCAACCTCTCTGCCTTAGGCAGGGAACAAGGCTACATCCAGTCAGGTTCCTGGGTCGGAGGGAGGGCAGGTTTGCGCATAAGTGAGCAGTGGTCACCAGGAGGGATGAATGTCCGGGTGGGGTGTGTGTAGGGCTTTCAAAGAGTAGAAGGAAGTTCTGGGCATGGACAGGACGGGTGGAATCCTCCGCTGTGTGCACTGACTTCCTGTTGTAGGAGCCACACCAGGGCAGACACAATGCGGTTTTCCAGCAGGAGCTGCTTTGCAGACTCCGCGGGCATCGCGTTCCTGTGGCTCTTCATCACTCTGCAGATCCCCAGGGGGGCTGAAGACGGCGGAGACTTGATGCCCATGAAAGGCCGAGCAGCACCCCGGCTCGCGGTTGGGAATCGGAGTGCAGGGTCGGGATGGCGAGGACAGGTGGGTTCCCCAAAGCATCGGGCTTTCCTTCTTCCCGTACATTTCCACCGGAGCGGGTGCAGTTGGGGCCCACGAAGAAGCTGCACTTGCTTCTCGTGATTGTTAAGGTCCGAGGGGAGTGGGTACCGCTGGAGCCCGGATCCCTTGGCCAGTGGCTCAGCATCCTGAGCGTGGGCTGGACTCGCTCTGGGAGGAGCGATCCACTCCACCTTTTTCCCTCCGAAAGCTTGTGAGAAGCCACTGGGGATAAATGCTGTTCTTTTTACAGAAGGGTTTCTCTGTTTGCCTTTGTCAAAGCCCCAGGAGACCAGTTATGACAGGAAGAAGAACCCGAGGCCACTGGAAGACTGGCACGCGGTCACCTTCAAATATACACAAAAAATCCCAAAGAGAAGGAGGAGTGAGTGCTAAGGAGAGGGAGGGATGGTGCCTCCTGGGGAAACAGGGACATCAGGAGAAGTGAGGTAGCGGGGCACAGTGGCACTCATCTGGGATCCCAGCTACTTGGGAGGCAGAGGCAGGAGGATGGAAAATTCAGGACCAGCCTGGGCAATTTAGTGAGAAGATCCTGACTCCAAGTAAAATAAAAAGGGCTAGGGATGTAGCTCAGTGGTATAGCACTGCTGGGTTCCATTTCTGGTACTGGAAGGCACAGGGGGAAAGTTAGAGACAGAAAGATGGAGAATTGAGACATCGATATATTGGGGTATGAAGAAGCAGGAAATAGATGAAGTTAGTTGTTATAAGAAGGTGGAATCAATATGCTGATCAGTATTATAAAGCATCACTGAACATTTCAATGTGTTTACTTTGGTCTGCAAGATTACGTGTGCATACTGGGTCAGCAATAATGAACAGGACTCTTACTTTAGGTGACCTTGTATTTGAATCTGCAATTGTGATTGACCCTAGGAATGGATGACTATGCAGTTTTACGGCAGCTAAGTGCAAAGAAAAGACAAAGTATTAAAATGAAAGGAGTTGAGGTTATGGTTGTTTACACGCACATCTAGGTAGAGGAATTCAAAGAATAAATAAAATGCATAACGTGGGAAAGGGCAGATTCACTGGAAGGAAAGAGTTGCTATCAGAAGGTGAACTCGCTGGATTAGGCGCACGCAAAAGGCAGCTCTGCTCACTCTGCACCACCAGCACCTCCCCGTCACACGGCATCTGGAAGAGTCGCGTAGTCCAACTCTCTCGCCTCTCTGGATTTAGACCTAAACTCAGGGGTGAAGGAACTCACTCGAGATCACACGGCGGCAGGACTGGGACCAGACCCCAGGGCTAGCTGGGTACATTGGTCCACACGTAACAGTCTCAGCACTCTGGGAGACCAAGGCAGGCAGATCAAAGTTCTAGCCCGGCCTGGACAACCTAGCAACTTAGTGAGAAAGAAAGAAATAGAATAAGAGCTGGAGAATAGCTCAGTGTGAAGACCCGGGGTTCAATCCCCAACAGTGCAATGGGGTGGGGCTCCTGACTGCTAGGGAAAATCCCTTTCCTAATCTATTTCTTCAAAGACGGCCTTTGGGAGGATGAACTGGGTAAAAACAAAACAATTATAATAACTAAAATAATAGCTATGTACTCAGCACCTAAATGATGAGCCTCAAAGTTTGAGGTTCAAAGAGTCAAGGGACCCACAGGGGCCAAGAATCACCTAGCTTAGCACTTCCCAAACTCCGGTGCGTGCACGGTCACCTGGTGATACTGGTAAAGCAGGTCTGAGGAAGGGGTCAAGATTCCGTGTCTCAAGCTGGCAGATGAGGCTGACGTGCTGGACTAAGGACCACACTTAGCGTAGCAGGGGTGTAGCCATCCCCTCTGCCACTGGAAAAAACAGATAGGAAATAGAGGAGGGAAGAGAGAGAGAAGACCCCAGACAGCGTCCCCTCCACTAATCCTTCTGACAGCTGGCGCCTCCACCCTACACTGACAATTGTCCCTACTCCACCTCTCCTTAGCGTGGCTGACAGTGGGGATCTCCACGGTGTCACGGCAGGATCCGAGCAGCCTCTTGTACACCTTGGCCTCCCTGTACAACGCCTCCTCCACGGCCGAGCAGAAGCGCCTCACCGTGCTGGTCCACCTGGCAGATTCCGACCTCGCCTGGCTCAAAGACACCACTGCCCGTATTTCAAGCCTCTTCAGCTCGCAGATCCTGGCCGGGCAGTTGCTGCTGATCCATGCTCCGCCTGCTGCCTACCCCACTGTGAATGGCAGCCCTGGTGCCGGTGCCGTTGCTGAGGCCGACCACGGGAAAGGCTACTCTAAGCAGAACGTAGACCACGCCTTCCTGATGAGCTTCGCCGCAAAGCTCTCTGATTACTTCCTGTTAATAGGGGACACTGTCTTTTGTGCCCCCAATTTTGTCACCCACATTTATTCCAAGGTGACCGCCCTGAAGCCCAGCCCGTGGGTGCTGCTGGAGTTCTCGAACGTGGGCCTCATTGGCAAGCTCTTCCATAGCAGGGACCTCCCTGCCCTGGCCCACTTCCTCCTCCTCTTCCACAAGGAGAAGCCCCTGGACAAGCTGATCCTTCATTTCCGCACCCTCCTGGTCCAGGAAAACCCGATCCTCTGCAGACCATTCCTCTTCTACCACAGATCATCCCGCCCCACCTTCGATGGCAAGGAGGACACAGTCGTTCAGAAAAAGAACCCTTACGGCCCTAGCAACCCCCCTGCGTCTGTCTTCACCGATATGAACCTTTCTGGGACTCACTTCCCCTGGGAGGCCTACGCTCTGGACGAGTCGTTCTTCTGGACAAACGACATCCGCCCGGGGAACCACTTGACGGTGGTTTTGAACCACCCAGCGAGGCTGAGCAGAGTGCAGGTGATGACCGGCTCCATCGTGGAAGGAAAGTTCGCCCTGAGCAAGGGGCAGGTGCAGCTGGGCTACGACCCCCAGGGCATGCCGCAGGACTGCGCCAGCTCTGAGCTGCTCGGCTGGCTGGTGGAGGGGCAGATGGACCGGGAGATCCCGCAGGAAAGCGCGTCATACCCGGTGAGCTGCGTGAGGCTGGTGGTGAAAGCCCGTCAAGCTGGTGGTCTCATGATCAGGCATATCTACCTCTGGGAGAAAGATGCCACGGAGGAAAAGAAGGATCAGGGTCGATGGTGAAATCAGTAAGAGTACAACAAATAAAACCGGGAGCTGTTTCATTCTAGCCCGGATGAGCGACACAGGGGAGGTAGGAGGGAAGCAAAGGCAGAGAGAAGACTCACTCACTCTTTGGTGCCATCAAGGTGTTAGCAGCCTCATTCTTTCCTTTTTTCACCTGCAAATGCAACTCTACTATGATGCCATTCACTGGGGAAAGGCCTGGTCACTCTGAAATATCTTTAGATTTCTAGGGTACTTGAATCAGCTGGAGAGACCCAAATATAGTGTACAGTGTGAGTGTGAGTGTGTGTGTGTGTGTGTGTGTGTGCACGCGCGCATGCAGGGGTGAGGGCTAACAAGGCTAGGAGTGCGGTAAGAGGATGAGTGAGGAAATCATGGGCAGTCTTTAGAAGTGACTTTGTAAGAAGCCAAGAAAAGGGTTCTCATGAAAAATTGAACTCTGAAATTCAGGAAAGGAGCAGAAGGACCAGTAGCAATAAAGCTAAATGTTTACATGGTGTCCTTTTAAAGTGGGTCATAGTGCTGCTCTAGATCCCGCCTTTTTTCAGCAACAAACTTGGGCACAAGTTTATAACTAACGCTTCCCTCTTTATCAGTGGTTCAATCTGTAAGTCTTCCTCTGGCTTGCTTCTTCTTTCACGATGCTACTGAAACTCTTCCCCACTTGTAATGTTCAAAGTACTCCAAACCCAGTGACATTTTTCTTTCTTTTTTTCCTTTTTCCTTTTTTTTTTTTTGGTACCTGGTATTGAACTCAGGTCCTTGCACTTTTGAGACAGGCAGCGGCACCACTGAGCTAAATCCTCGGCCCTTCCAGTGGCATTTTTCAAATTTCATTCTTAGTTCTGTGCAGCAATACAAAATACTAATTATGGTTTCCTTTCAAAACTGTCTTCTTCCTAGACTTCTCACATTCATTCATTAATATGGTATCTATTGATTGTCTAATATGTGCCAACCAGCCCTGACTTTGAAGAGATTGTGTTTAGCAAGGGGAATATAGTCAGATGTGTCAAGCGTCTTGTTGGTGTTGAGTACAGTCTCTGGGCGCACAAAACCACTGTCCCCAAAACAGTCTTGGGGACTCATGAAAGGCTTTTTGGAAAATGTGACATCCAAGCCTAATGCCAGGTCATTTTGGAGTACACAGCCAGATGTGGCGAGAGGGAAGAGGAAATTTTCCAATAGGAGGGGAAAATCAGCTGCAGAGATGCAGGCTGGGGGAGAGAAGGAGCAATCATTCGGTGGGTCTGGGTGAGGCTGGGATGAAGATGAAGCCACAGAGCTAAGAAAGAACCATCTTGTTTGTTTTTTGTTTTTTCGTACCGGGGATTGAACTCAGGTCCTTGCGCTTGCAAGGCAGGCCACCGAACCGCTGAGCTAAATCCCCAGCCCAGAAAGAACCATCTTAAGAAGGGTCATGGAAGCTGGGCTCCTTCCTGTAAGCCTAGCACCCTGAGAGGCTGGGGAAGTAGGATCGCAAATTTGAGCCCAGCCCAAGCAACTTGTGGACTTAGAAGAGGCTCTCAAAATTTTTTTTAAAAAAGTTTTTTAAAGAGCTGAGGGATGTAGCTCAGTGCGAAGCTCCTGTGTTCAATGTCCAGTACTGAAAAAAGAAAAAAGCCAGGCATGGTGACACATACCTACAATCCCAGTACTCAGGAAGCTGAGGCAGAAGGATTGCCACAAGTTCAAGGACAGCTCGGACTACATTATGTTTATTTATTTATTTATTTTGGGCTTTTTTGAGACAGGGTTTCACTATGTAGTTGAGATTGACCTGGAACTCACTATGCAGCCCAGGCTGGTCTCAAACTCACAGCGATCCTCCTGCCTCAGCCTCCGGAGTGCTGGGATTACAGGAATGCGCCACCACGCTCAGCCTGGACTACATTATGAATTCAAGACCAGTGTGGACTACGCAATGAGACTCTGTCTCAAAAAAGTTAAAAAAAAATCTTTTCTCAAAATGTGTCAGAAAAACTAGATTTTTTTTTTGTTTCATCTACATATCATGTGAAAATTAACACAAATACAGCACAGAACTAAATATAAAGAGGTAAAGCTATCAGGTTCCTAGAAAATATAGTTGTAAATTGTGACCATGGATTAGGCAATGGTTTCTTAGATATGACACCAAAGCACAAGTAACTCAAAGAAATAATAGAATTGAACTTCATCAAAAGAAAAATTGTGGTTCATGGGACATCCAAGAAAGTGAAAAGACAACTGACAGAACAGGTGAAAATCGTGCAAATCATATCTGATAAAAGATTGGTATCCAGAATATATAAAAACTCTTACAACTCAATTATAAAAAGATAAATAACCCAATTTTCAAATGGGCTAAGGATCTGAATGAACATTTCTCCAAAGATACACAAATAGCCAATAAGCACAAAAAACCTGTGCTTTTATCATTTGTCATTTAGAGATATGCAAATCAAAACCATAGTGAAACATCACACTTGTCAGGATGACTATAATCTTTTTAAAGGAAAAAATAAGTCATGTTGAGGATGTAGAGAAACTGGATCTCCAAGATATTGCTGGTGGGGTTGTAAAGTGTTACAATCATGTTGGAAGATGTTTACCAGTTCCACAAAATCTATACAGTCAAGCAACTTCACTCCTAAGCTTCTACTTAAGAACATAATTGCTTTATTGAGAAATAACTCATATACCATAAAATTCATTTTTTTAAAGTATGTGCCGCCTACCCCACAAGTGCAAGGTCTTGAGTTTGATCCCTGGTACCAAAAAAGAAAAAACTATGCTACATGAGAGTAACCAGTCATACAGGCTACCTATTATAGGATTCATTTATATGAAATGTTCAGAATACATAAAGTCATAGAAACAGATAGTGATCACTGCTGGGAAAAGGGGGAGAGGAGAATGCATACTAATAGGTATATAGTTCCTTTTTGGAGTGATGATGCTATACCACAGATTGTGATCATGGCTGTACAGCCTTGTTAATATATTTAAAACTTTTGAATACTTTATTTACTTATTTTGGTACTGGGAAACAAACTTGTGTCTTTGCACTTGTGAGGCAGGTGCTGGAACCACTGAGCTAAATCCCCAGACCCTTGAATACTTTAAAAAGAACAAATTTTATGGTATATGAGTTATTTCTCAATAAAGCGATTATGTAAAAAAATTTAAAAAGCCAAAAAGGGCTGTAGAAAAAAGTGAAAGAGTTAGACTATCTTAATGGCAAGAGGAATCAATCATTGCAGAACTTTTAAGAGGTCAGAGAAATAAGTCAAGTTGTGTTTTTCTTTTTTTGGTACCAGGGATCGAACCTCAGGACCTTGAGCTTATGAGGCAGGGACAGCGCCACTAAGCTAAATCCCTGGCCCTTTTTTTTTGTTTGTTTGTTTTGTATTGCTTGGGTACCAGGGATTGAACTCAGGACATTGTGCTTGTGATCAAATTGTGTTTTGGAAAGATCACCATAGGACAACAGGTATCATGTAAAGACCAGCTTAAACTGAGTCAAGAAGGAAAAGCCAATAAGAATTAAAGAAGACAATATGTGCCTGGCATATGATGCTTAATAAAAGAACTTTTGTTATGGTTGAAATGAAATGTCCTCCATATACTCATGTGTGAGAGCCTGATCCTTACACAGCGCTGCTCAGAATTAGACCTAGAGAGGAAACTGGATCATGAGGGCTCATTAGCTGAATGGGCTGTTGGGAGACGGCCCTAACCGGAATAAGTAAATCACGGGGGTGTGGCCTTCTTTGCAGGGTACACGTCTCCTTCCCAGCCGCTTCCTGTGTGTGGTTTTTCTTTCACCCTGTTTCTTGACTGCCATGAGGAGACCTTCCACCATGATGTTTCTGCTTCACACAGGCCTAAAAGTAATGGAGCAGGCTAACCATGGACTAAACCTCTCACAGTAGCCAAAGTAAATTTTCCTCCTTTAAATTGATTTCTTTAGGTATATTATTAGAGCAACAAAGAGCCAACTAATGCAACTTTCCATTTCCCTGAGATTGTTTCAGGGTGTAGACAGGGGCTGAGGCCTGGCCCATGTGCCTGTCAGGTCACAGAGGGGAAAAGCAGGGCTGGCATGAGAACCCACTAGTACAGTGCTGTCAGAACTGACAAATGACCCTCAGCCTCCATGTCTGGGAGGCAGTGGAGTGGTGGCCTGGGAATCCTGGGTCTGCACGTCCCATGAAGACAGAGCAGCTGCCCAGCTTTAGTGGTGGATTGGTTCGTTCCGTGGGGGAAGGTGGGTCCAGGATGCCAGATATGGTCATGTTTTTTAGAAGAGCTGGATATCCCACTTCTTTTTATGTTAGACCTCCCACTTTTTTTGAAGGTCAGAGATTCAAAAATGTATCAAAAAACCACTTAGGGAAGGGTGGAGGGGGTGAAGGGAGGCCAGGGGTATGGGTTAAAAAGGAGAACCAAGATCTGTCATGTAAAGGTACAAGATCCAAATGATAAATGCAACTGTACTGCATACTTAAAATGTACCAATAAACTCAATGAGGAAAAAAAACCCCACTAAGTCACAATTTTAAAATACCACTTAGCTGGGGTCAGGGGCTTCCCAGGTTAACGACTTTATCTTAGGCCTCAGATCCAACCTGCAATCCTTTTAGCATCACTAGCAGGGTCACCTGGATGGATTCCTGTGACCTTCCCTCATCCCTATTAGTGACATAGCCTGCCCCGAGCATGGATCACTGTGCAGACGGTGGAGCGATCCGCTGCTGACTCTGTTAGCTCCATTCTCAGAGGCTGGCACTTTCCTCATAGTGGTCCTCTGGCCACATGTGGGACTTTGATGCTCTTTGTTTAGAATGAGCCGTCAAGTGACTTCCACAGAATGTTGCAATTTCGAAAGTCCTATCACTGTGCATCGGGTGTGGCATCGAAGGCTGAGGAACCTGAGAGTCCTGAAGTTCAGGGTGTGTGCCGGAGCTCAGGCCAGCTTCTGCCTGGACTTGACTCTGAGCTCGTGACTGCAGAGGGACCGGTGAGTTGGCGTCAAGACACGTGCGTCCCCGAGATAGGCCTCTTCCCCACGTTCTGGGGTAGGGGTCTCACCTTGAAGAAGCTAACAGTCAAGTAAGTCATCAGGAGGTTGGGAGAGGAAATGCAGTCAGGACAAAGGTGCTCAGGTCACCAAAGGACAGGCACAGTGGCTCTGGTGACAAGTACCGAGAAGGCCATTCTTCCCCAGCCCTGCCCCCTTAGAGACCCTTCAGGTTTAGAAACCCACTTCTTCCTTTCTCTTCTGCATTATGATCTCTGCTTCTTCTGCACCAGCTGCTCCACAGCTGCTATGCTCAGCTCCGGAGGCACCTGGAGTCCGTTTCTCCTCCAGGTGCCGGACTCAAGTTCAGTGGATGTTTGCCGAATGAGTGAATAATCTTACTTTTACGTGTCACTTTCATTCCTTAACTTCTTAGGAATATACAATCTATTCTAATCTGTAGTTTATTATCTGTTTTAATCTGTAGCATGCTGAAATGGAGAGCCTCATTTTACAAATTAAATATATATACAGTGCAGGAGTTGTGGCTCAGTGGCAGAGCTTGTCTAGCATGCCAGAGGCCCCAGCACCACAAAACACATAAACAAAATATGTTAATACCCAGCCCCTATACACATGACAGACAGGTTCCCTGGAGCCTGCGTGGGAACCACAGATTGCT